TAGTTATGTGAATGTATGTAATTAGTCCTAGTCCCTTATGTAATAGGAGTAGGTTATGTGTTACGTATACATATAAATAGAGCTTATTGCAACATAGTCAATATTAATTAATAATATTTTCTCCTGTGCATTCTCACAATGTCTAAAACTTAAGACTGGCCTTTGGAAAAACTTCCCACTTTAATGTGGTATAGGAATAATCCAAGAACTACATTGCTTTCTTCATAGACGTACTGTTGGTTTGTAGGAGGAGCAAGATTTCCACATTATAAGTATAAGTTATTGGCAGTACTTTTTTAGTGGAAGGTGTTCCTTTTATTTGGCAAGTAACAAAGTACTTTTTATAGCCTCCAGGTGTTTGTCTAGTGGTAAAAACACATTGGTGATATGTGGTTTAGGCACATGTCACGAGTTCGAGCGCTACCATAGACAAAAACTTGGTATTTAAGTGGAGAGAAGTAGAGGGATGGACCCATTTTCCATCGAGTTTCAAACCTTGAGCCACTAGCCTTTGGGATTTTATTGGTTATTAAAAAAAAAGAGTACTTTTCACAACTGCAAGCAGCAAATTGCTTCTACCTTTTGATTGTCTAATATGTTGAAACTTCGTCCTTATTAATGTAAATTATGAAAAAGTTATGGCTTTGCACACAAGGGTGTGGTCTAGTGGTCAATGAAATTTAAATGGACCATGGGAGTCCAAGGTTCAAATCTCAGCAAGATGCAAAAAAAATGCTCGGTGAATTCGTCCCGTTATCTAAGCCTTGATGAGCTGAGTTACTAATGGGAGATAGTAGGTTCGATTGGTCGAGGTGTGTGTAAGTTGGTATGGACACTATTGTTATAAAAAGAAAATAAATAAATTATGAAAGTTATGGCTCTTGGTGCCAGCCTGTCAGTTTCTAAAAAATAAATAAATTATGAAAGTTATGGCTCTTGGTGTCAGCCTGTCACTTTCTAAGTTAACTCCTGCAAAAAATTCAATCTTTCCATAGCTTCACTTAAGTTACACATCAATGTCCAGTTGTCCACGGTTTTCTTTTAACTTGGGGGTCGGGGTGGGGTGGATTCCCCCACCCTTTGAAATATTCACATCGTTGCCCTGTTCGTCATGTTCAAGCATTCTTGCTGAATATCATTGGTCAGTTTTCTCTCATTTTGCACAATTGATTTGTTCTGTTCATAATTTTCATTCTTGTTTTCCAATAATTGTAAATTTCAATTATGGGCTAGTTCGTTTGAATTACTTGCCATATTGATCTTGATACTTGATAGAATTTAGCAAATGTATTGTTGATTTGCTATTCCCTATTTGAAAATTCTTACCATATGTAAAGTTGCAATTTCTGCTCTTAGTATGATGATCAAAGTTGATTGATCTGCTGTAATATTCTGGTGAATAGGAACCTTCTTGGTTATCTATTATTATCCAGCGAAGAATGGAAAGATGTTCACATTTCAGCTCGATGCTTCATAGTGGATCCTTCCGAACATCTGAAGCAGGAAGGTGTTAAATCCAGTGTTGAGATTTTTGGTGCTGGAGCAGTTGCTTGCTGTACTATGGGGAGCAGCAAGAAGACATTACCCATGTTCATCTGTAGAGAAAGTTTGACATCGGGGTGCAAAACTATCCAGCTGCTGCAGAAGTACTGTTCTTTATCCACGTGGCTTCTGACTTCATTTATGAAAATTTATTTCTATTATACACTATGTGCAGCTTGCTTTATTGATATATGAATCTGATACTCCTGATGCAATGGAGGAAGACATGGAATTTTTGTCCATGACATATATGCCAAAGCTGTTCCGTGCATCTAATTCGACTCTTTATCTTTATAGGTGTGTCCATCAGCAGCCTTGGGACCATACTTCCTATTACCTGCTTATACTAAACTATCTGCAAAAGGTGCGGGAGGAGAAATTTCCGCATAACATGTGTGTTGTTCTTGAGCGGTTAATAAGTGTGGCTCTTCAAAATGAGCTTTATGCGAAGGAAGACATTTCGTACCAATACCAAAAGTTCCAGCTTCTGCTTTGTGCTGCGGAGGTTAGTTTGCAATGTGGGAATAATTTCAATTGCATTATGCGTGCAAAAAGTGCTCTAGAGATGCAGCTTTCAGATAACTACCTCTTCTTTGCACACTTGCTACTGTGTCGTGCCTATGCTGTGGAAGGTAATTATATTGGGCTTCGTGAAGAGTACGTTAGGTGCTTGGAGCTCAAAACTGATTATCATATTGGTTGGATTTGCCTTAAGTTTCTTGAAAGTCAATACAAGCTGCACTCAGATTCCAGTGCACTAGCCTTGGCCTTTCAAGAGTGTTGCAAAGAGATAAAGACTTCGTGGAACATGTGGATTGCTATATATAATTTGGTTCAAGGTCTAACTGCAGTTTGGAATGGGGAATTTATTGACGCAGAAGAGTCACTTGCGCAAGCTTGCTCGTTAGCTGGTGGTGAGAGTTGCCTTTTTCTCAGCCATGGTAACATTTCCTGAACTTTAACTCCCTTTCTTTTGGGTGGTAATTGCAAATAATTACTTCAAATTTTAAATGGCCTACTATTGGAAATGGGGGGAATCTATCAAATATATTGGGCCAACAGAGAAGACATTCCAAATTTCTGATACTTTTGAAAATTTAATTTTCTAGAATTGAATACACTTGATTTCTTTTGACTGGTCAAGTTGAGAAATGAGCATTTAAATATTATATTCTTTGATATCCTTGTAAAATGGGATCTTCCTCTCTCTAGTTCTTTTTTTCTTTTGATAATATAATACTTGTATTGATGTTGTAAGAAAATATTTGGTATACAATTAATTGGTAGACAAAAATTATAGAACTTAGGACAAAATATGGTTCTCTTCAAAAGACAGCCAATCGTCTATACAAATTGGAATCTCATGGGTGTACAAAAAATATACAAGTAACAAATGATGAGCCCTCTTTTTTTTTTGTTTCCTTCTGAAAAGGTAATAACTTTATTTAAAAGCAACACAAAGTTAGTGCTGGAGTTTCTGTATAATGAGGAAAACACCAAAAGTATGGCTCTTCTTCTAATCCTAGAGAGCCTCTATGGTTCTAGCATAATTTCTGCCTCATTTACGTATTCCTTTTTTCATAAAAAATGAAATAACATGATAAGCTGTAACATCTTGAACTGATTTGTTCTTCT